ATGTTTAGAGCGAGTAAAATAAATCAATTAGTTTATTTCAATGAAAGACTTGTTATTTTTGTAGCTTTATTAACCATCTTATTTCAGACATTCATCAGTGATCCACACACAGTTTTCTCTTCCTATCTTTATTTTTTGAAAAATGGTTATGAGCCTTTACCTTCATTTTATCATTTCTATCCCAAAATGAATTTTGCCATTGATTAAATGATTGATATTTTTGCACCAATTATTAATAAAAAATACTGCACATTTCTCTGTTATGAATTCTTTTAGTTGAATTTGGTGTTCTGTGCATTGTAAAAAATTTAAATCTAAATTAATCTTTATGATTAACTTTATATATGTCAAAATATTTTTTTTTTTATTGCAATTTTCTTTTAAAACTTCTATTGTTTTCAGTATTGATAACATAGTCAAATAGGTTTCGGGTAGGATAGCACAACCAGTTTTTGTTTTCAAACTCTTTTAAAATTATATAAGTATGAAATATCTGCTTTTCTTTAGCTTCTATGTTGTTTTTACATAATAAACAGCTTATATAAAAATTTTTCTTTGCTAATTGTGCTATCCAGCCACTACAGTATCCAATTTTTCTACTTATTAAACTTTCTGTATTCATTAAATCAATGCATAAATGAGCATTTTCAATTTCAACTTCACATTCAGTGGGTATATCATCTACGTCTTTAGTCAATAGTTCTTTTAGTGTTTGCAGACAAACGCTATCATCCATTTCGCAATTTGATCCCACTGAATGTGAAGAAGAAATATTGTCAATAAGCAATGTTTTAAAGGCCCCCTCAAAAGATTGTGATGTAGGCATCGTATTGCTGCAGCCATGAGCCTTTATTGCCCCAAAAAATTTCTCCAATGCGTCTTGGTTGAAATTTCATAGCAATAATGAATTTATGCCTTTTGAATTCAAATAAATTAAAATTCTTTTGAAGTTTTCTACTGTTTTTATCCAGCTGGACAACGATGGAACTATCCCATGATTAATTCCATTATGAAACCTCATGCTCCTTAAAACTGGAAGGGTTTTGTTCCATAATTTATGATGAGGCGATGTTGGTGTCACTGCTGTCCTATACATTTTCCCCCCTTTTGGTTTGCTAAAGCTGCCACTGACACTGTCGAATAAGTCATCAAAAAACATCAACAGGTCTGCAGTTTCAGTGCATTCTTTTTCAAGAACTCCAAACTCTGCAATGAAAATATAATGTTTGTTTAGGTTTGTAATGGAAAATATAAGTTTTTAGTTTATAGTATGTATGTACTATGTATACCAGAAAAAAATTCTATAATAAATCTGCTCTCAAAAATATAATAAAACATATGGACTCTAAAATTTCATAATAATAATAATCATCATCATCATCAGCCCTTTTACGTCCCCACTGCAGGGGCTCAGGCTTTCCTTGTGGATGGTTAAGGAGGATGGGCCATGACCCTCCACGCTGACCCAATGCGGATTGGAGTGAATAGACGACTGTAAATGCAGCCGGGACCAACGGCTTAACGTGCCTTCCGAAGCACGGAGTAGCTCGAGATAATAATTTTTTGGTCACCCATCCCATGACCGACCCTTGCGAAAGTTGCTTAACGACAACGATCGCGGGCCGCGGCGCTTATCTACTACGCCACCAAGCTATTCTCATAATAATATTAAAAAATATCACCTGTCATTACTCCAATAGCAGCTCCAATAGTTTTACTTAACACCTAAGTGCAGTGTTTCACTCTCATTTTTAGTATTAATGATGGCACTACATGATGAGCTGTCAACTTAGGTGCCATCTTCACTCCTTTGTAGCCTGGGCATCTTTCATATAATTGTAGAATGTGATTCCACTTAGCAGTACATTCCTTTCCATTCATGTTATATTTTAAATTTTTTGTTAACAGATTATACCTGATCCCTTTTATTAAATGAGGTGGGTCATAGAGTGAAAATACTTTTTGTCTCCAACTTCAAAAAATCCTTCTGTATAGTGCTGCCCTCTTCTCAAATACATTTCGTTAATCTCTTTTGACAACAAGTTTATAGCAGCAATATTTGATGTAGTTTGGTCACATACTGCTGCTACCACCATAAGACCAGTTTCTGCAATTTTAATAATCATATTCTTTATTAAAGCTTTAAGTTCTTGTACTGCCACTGCAAAAATAATAGGCCAGTGGCTGTTTATATTTTTTAACAATGCCTCTAATTAAGAAAACAAGTACATGGTTACTGTACTATTTGCTTCATTGCTCCATTATCAACAAATCCTGTGATAATTTTTTTTTTTTATTAAAGCTGATGCTTTAATACCAATAATAAATACCACCAATAAATGGCAATAGCACCATTGCCATTTCATCAAATACCAAGGTGCAGTATTTAAATTTATTTGGCATTCTCCTAACTCTGGATTTTAGGTTGTCAAATAAAATTTCATTAATGCCTGCCTTTAACTGGACTTTATACAACAAAGTCTGCAATGTTGGTCTACTAGGTAAAATACAAAATTTTCTTAACAGACGATACGCCTTAGGTGCAGGTTTGTATAATGATAGCGCTACAATCTTTTCATCAATGGTAAATCGATGCCCTTGCTTTTTCTTATTTCCATGTAACATTTGCATTCGGCAAAATAATTTTGCAGTAGGTGACATATTTTTGGAAATTATTTGGAAAGCAGAGGTTTTCATTAAAGATTTAGCACGAGCCAATTTTTGTTTAAAGCTCCTTTTTTGAGCTTCTCATTTTTTCAATTTATTCACAATGATTTTATATTGTTTATGGTCTTTTAGAGAAACACCTGCAACAAATTTCATGAAATGTAAATTAAAACCTCAAAAATAAATAGTTTCTTTTTTTGCATTACACACTGTACAAAAATATTCAGTTTTGTAATAAAATCATCTAGACTATGTCTTTTTTCAGATTTGCTGATTGTTTCCAATTTCATGCAGCAATTTTCAAATTGGATAATTGAGATATATTTTTGCAAAACATACCTTTTAATTTTCTTGGCAACTGTTGTTTGGCAACAGGTGTTTGTGTCTTTCCAAGGTTTGTATGCTGACCTGGAAATAATAACAAATAAAGTTATTTCGTGGATATCATTGGCTTATCAGTCTCTGGCTCAAAATATTAAAGATTGGCCTATGTTACAGAACATAGATTTGCAATTTTGAACAAAGGGACATTCAATTTTTGTATAACTATATGTTGACTCATGAATTTTCCTTTATATAAAAAATAATATTATATTTAAGATGATTATTTAACTATTTTAATTTTCATCAGAAAAACGTTTACCAACCTGATGTGCTGGCATGTAGTTGAGAAGGTACAAAATGTGAGCTACATGGCAAATCCGCACTTGCAACTATGTAAGGTTCTCCAGTTGATTGCGCTGAACATGAAGAAAAAAACATTTTATAATATTTTATTTTATAATAAACATTAAAAATTAACATGGAAATTAGGAGCATTATTTGAACAATGGTATAAGAAACTAGCTTTCGCCCACAAGGTCTTATATTGTACATATAAACCTTCCTCTTGTACCACTCTATATATTGATGAAAACCACATTAAAATACATAATGTTTTTTATAAGAACTCAGCTTATAGAAAACGTATTTGTTTTCTACTATTTCATTTTTACTTTAAACTTTTTATAGTTTGAAAAATTATTCACTGGTCATTGTTAATCACATATGAATGAATTTTAATGCATAGCCTGCTGCTTCCATCTTTAAATAGATAGGTAGATATTCAATATGCAGTATTATTTATAAATAATAAATTACCTGACATATGAAGTGTAGGCATTGCTATGTTGCAGTCTATTATTGGGATATTTATAAATAGATAGAAAATGTTTTCCACAAATATGCATGTTATTATATATTTTGATTGGATCCAGAGTTATTTCTCCACCAACATTGTCTAGCCATTTTTTAAATTTCTCTGTTTTAGTTCTAGGTTCAGGAAACCGGTGCAAAGGGATACCTGAGTAACATAATAATATGTATTATTCTCTGCTATTCACACAACAAATTATTAGTCCTTAATTATTTGTATAATGGATGAACAAATAACAATTCTTAAATTGTAGGCACATAATAAGTTTTTTAATGAATATTGTATTCTACGATAGCTCAAAGAAAAATACCTGAAAAACATTTGAATTATGAAACTCCACGTATAGGTATAAAAATCGGTTGAAAACTTTGTCATTATAGTACAATTCATAAAGTATTTATTGTACAAACTAAAAAGCACTTACCGCTATCCTTAGTCACTGAACATTAAAGTACACAACAACGGTTTTGAGCCATGATTTTTTGAGCAAAGTTCAAATTAAAAACAAGTAACATTTCGGTACGGGATATTTCAAGACACAATACGATTGTTAACACAATATATTTCGATTACACGGACGAACTTAATCAACTTAACGTGAAAAGCAGAAAAAGTTACAGGAACTTGCAAAAACTAACAAGCACACGGACATTCACTCAATACATTTTCAATTTGCGAAGTTAGTTTTAAAGTTTACCCACAATACCAAACCATTACATACGCGCCATTTTCAATTGATATTGCCATAGTATATTTAATATTACCACTTAAATTAGAAACATTTCTAGTGACAATTCTATAATTACTATATTATTCTGTAACAAGATATATTATTTCAATAATATTAAGTATCATAAGGCTTTTTAACTAAGTTTCAAGTAATAATAAACAAGATTTATTAATGATGCCTTTAAAAATTATCCCCAATTATAAACACATTTATTTATTGTGGCTACACCATGATTTCTATTTTAAAAGCTGGTACATAGATGGCACTGTAAAGTAAAAAAAAATCGAGTTCTAAGTTTGCATAGCATGGTCGAAATAATACAGGCTGATTCTTAAGACGTGCATATTTCTAATCGTGATGTGCTTTATGAAGTGACTTTTTAGTGTAGTGTTCAAGTATCTGTGCAAAATGTTGGCGGATGGTGAAATAGTTGGAGATGGGTCGTGGAACCTCACGATCTACGTAACAGATCTAAATGAAAAACGCACCATGGTCGTGAAAGGTGACATGCACATCGGCGGGGTTATGCTGAAACTGACCGAGAGTTTTGGTAAAGTCTCATTTTATATATTTTTTATCATACTTTTTTCTTTTCCTATGCGCTTTAGAATTAATTATAGGTGTTCAATAACACTCAAGTGAGTGAAATTTATCTCACATATAATATTTTAGTGTCTTATCAGTACATACGTTACTTGCTTAATTAATAATGTACTTTACACCTGCTTATTGTTCATGTTTATAATGCTTTTAATTTAGATATGTGTATCGGTAGTAGAAAGAAACATGTTCCTGTACATCTCGTACGAATTAACATGACATTTGAGTAATTAAGTTATTTGGAAAATTTTTAATGGAAATTATCTATGTATCAGAGGCAGTGTCAGGACGTTTCTTTGAAATCTTATTAAAATAGACGAAATTTCATTTTCGAAGAAGTAGAATAGGCGTACAGGCGTCATGTTAATTCATATGAGTAGTAGGTGGATATGTTAAGTAAGAATGAACACAAACTATTTTATCAGATAGACTTGATGCCCATAAAATGTTTATAAACAAACTCATGTCAATAGATTTATAGAGAAACAGGTATATTAATTATTTATGTAGAAAGCCATAAAAACAAACAGTTTGAGAAGGTGACAACAGTATAATTGGGTATCCATCTCTGCTATTACTTTTTTTACTACAATAATTTTTAAGTTTTATTATATTGCATGTAATTGTTACTACTTGTATTAATTAACATAACACTATTTTATTTGTCTTCAAACAAAAATTCAGAAAATTTCAAATTGTTCTTATAATTTTGTGAAAATTATATATGTGAATATTATTGATGCATTAGAGGCTGTGCCAGGTCCTACCTAAGTTCCATTATAAATTATCAGAAATCACATTTCTTTGGAGTTGCGTAAGCATTTGAAAATTCATATGAGTAGTAAGCTACTATGTGGTTTAATTTACTTTCATTTTATAGTATTGTACTGATTTCTCTTATATGTACCTATGTGTGTTTGTGATGTAAACAAACTACATTATAATGTATGAAAGTTAGTTGTTTTAGAACCAGAATGAAAAAATTGGTTAAATATAGGTAATTTTAGTACCTAGAAAGGTAACGGAAGATACTTTATCCCAATAACCAGAACTTAAAGGGGTGAAAATGGAGTTACTCTGTGCGTCCTCTCTCTTGGGGAAGGACCTAGGTTTCAGCAGGGTACACTCTTCCACACACTCTTCCAAGTAGATCTTCCACACCCAACCCCTAATCTTGGTCAGCCTATCTTTTAACATAGACTAAATTTTTCTCCGGATCTTTGGCATCGTAAAATAGGAGTATTATATAGTAATAGTAAGTAATTTTGAATTATTTAAATCAGGCCAATTATTTGTCACAAATATTGCTAGCCACATTTGAAATAATAGGAAATGTTTGATTGGATGCTCACCAAAATTAAAAGGTAGGCTTAAAATAAACAAAAATGTGTAATGTGGATTTTTATTACCATTTTTTACAGAAACTGTAATAATAATTTTCAATTCCCAACTCTTAAAAAAATAAATAGAAAAGCAATTTTTTCAGCATGAAAGCTAGCTTTTATGTTTTTTAGGTAGGTATTGCGATCATGATGTTGTTTTTAAGTAATGCATGTTTCTATTAGATTGGCAAGGGAACATCCAGTACATCTAGTTAAATATACCTACATTCCATTACCATATTTAGAGCAATTCTCAATATTAACATTTGATCATCAATATTCATATTTCTCAAGAAGTGGAACCGGCTTTGCCAACTGGCAATGCAATAAAAGAAGTCTTGATTTAAAGAGTAGGAGACACGTTACATTATAATTAGTGGGAAAGAGAAGGACTGCCGTTCGGAGCGGTGCGTGTACGCAGGCACGCGTCCTTCACGGCCGCCAACACTGGCGATGTAGTTTTTGCTTGACTCGGGTGTTGTGGATTTGATAACCAATATATGACCACCTGAAGAAGGACCTAAAGCCGAAAGACATAATAGGGACGGAGGGCCTATTTGTCGACGAAGGAAACGTAATAAATCAATCAACATTTTAATAGTGAAGTCCTTAGATAATAATAAAAATAATCGGAATAAGCTCTCATTTCTATGCATTACAAACAAATAAATAGTCCTAGATTTTTCGGAGATTAAGATCCGCCCTTTACATATCTTAGCTGGTCCCCGCTTTGTACAGATTGAGAAATACTGTCTTAGAGTACTCATTCAGAGAAGTGTATGTATGTAGTTGTAGGTATTTCACCTACGCGAATTTGTCGCAATAAATGACTTTCGAAACGGTGCAGCGGCGTTCTTAAATCTCAATATGCGCCCACCTCATTCCCAAAACTTGTTTTAATCTATGGTGTTATTTCGCTAGACTCATAGAAAGGCTGAGCGGCGAGCAACTGTTTGATAATTTCCTATGAAAAATATTTATTTACAGTACAGTATGTTAAATGTGATAGTAGTTAAGGTTTGCAAAAAACATTGATCTCATGAATATGTTGATAAAGAAGTTCATAACAAAGCGCCAATTGATAAATTCCACGCGTTATCAAAAACACAACTCCTTATAAACCAAATAGATCTATAATAATCACCAATTACGTAAGTAAAGAAGCTTTTTCTGCTTGCCTGCCCAGACCACAACCACATCACAACCGAAATATAAATCTACATCACTATTTACATAGCAGAGAAGCTCTACCACAACTATGTATTAAAATTTAATTATATAACTTTTCTGAAAACTTTGAGGCAATTTAAAAAAAAGCACTCGTGTTGTATAAAATTTAATCGCATGCATATATGCGCAGACGCAGACTTAAAGGGTAAATTAATGGTCGTTAACAGAAATGACGCCTTTTTTAAAGAGCCTTTACATTAATGACAGTCTGTGATAACATCAGTCATTGACCAGTTGTATCATGAATGAGAAAATACCACAAAAAGTGCCAAAGAGAAAAGTAGCCACTAAATAGTATTTTTAAAGTCGTTTAAAATAAGGTATCTGCGTTTAATTCATCACTCACATCATATAAATGATCTATAGCCAAGAATATTATTAAAGCGGACTGACGAAATAATTCCCTACTACCTAAGATTTAATCTTTGATAAGGTATCACGATTGTAATACATAAAACAGATAATATAACGTGGCTTATATAGTTGAGGTTACATAACGAAAACTTTATAATTACAGAAATAGTACTGTGGCTACTTATACTTTCAACTTAAGTTTACAAAATTATATGATGAAAGATAACATGGTTAGATAAACATAATTCTCCGTAAATTATGTCCAAATTTGTTCTATGGTACTCTCATGATAAAAATAGTAAAGCTATTTAATAAATTCAGCACTACTAGTAGTTCATAATGTAAATATCTTAAAAAGTTATAGAATAACTTCTAAGAATATCAAACGTGGCAAAGAGTAATATGTAATGCAAAATATAGATTTTATTAGAACTAGTCTGTATTTATTGACTAGACATGTGTTTATCGATTGACTGTTCAAATAAATAAAGTGACATTTGTTTCCGGCGTCTCCTTGCTGTTCCAACAATAGATAAGGTATTATCATCCGCTCATTGTTCCTCTGTTCTGATGTGTTACTTGACCAATTGCAATTACGCAGGGCGTTAACCTTACGATATATTTAGCATAGAAAGTAAACAAAGCCAAAGAGAAGATCTTGCTTCTCGATAAGGGCACTCAAGTTTAATCAGCAAGTAGTACACGAAAGATGCTAAGGAATATTTCCAAGCTAAAATTATCCAAATAAGTAGACTGGTTACAAATAAGGTAATTATTGGGCTATTGTGTGGCATCAGTTTAGCATGGTATAAATCTTGGTGAACTATAGAATAGTGGTGATCCTATGGCCTTATATGGTTTTCCATTTGTATAGTGTTAGTATGACTAACGTTTTGCCTATCAAGAATCCATTGTAGGGTTCGTGTGCTATCGTTATAATGTGGGGACGGTGAGATAAGTGTGACATGTGTGTTAGTGTGCAGTAATGAAACCGTTTTTGTAACAATCTGTCCTTATTTAGTAGGTTCTACTTCAAGGTTGATAATTATTTGTATGATTGTAAAGTTTTATTAAACTTAACGAGTATTGGACACAATGGTACTCCAAGGACATAATTTGTAAATGTGGATCTTCATTATTGTTGCCAAACAATGGCGCCTGTCCACTTAAATCTTTTGTGGTACAGCCTGTGTCGGTCAGTTCTCTTGGAAAGACTAACACAAATACTTTATATGAACTGGTAATTGTGACGATACTTTTATTTTGTGAGATATTCATCACCTATCCAGATGTAAAGAAAGATTGTCACCAACTATGGCTCGGGAACAGCCGGACGCTAACGGTTGTGCGCATTCCAATTTTCTGCAGTCAGGGATTGGCTAATTGCTGTGTTCTTACGCGTCAATAAAACTACTCTAGACGATCCAAGACCATTACATTTCACACGTTTATACCTTCTTTACAAAACTGGTTAGCTTGAAAGTATCAAAGGACGATAGTATTTATAAAGATCTGCTAATGGCTATTTCAACCAACCACCTTTATAGAGCCTTGACTTTGGTGACTCGAGACGACCGCCAGGAGGCCAGAAAATGATCTTCGTCCGTGGAATACATTTTAAAAATTTGTTTCACAAGTATTTAGCTTGTAGATTGTTGTTTTGTTTGCATCACCCTTAATAATAACACTGCATAACTAATTATCACAATATGACGTAATTGTTCAAGCTAAGAAGATAATCTAAACAGATCTTTATATTTTCAAGATCATAATGTTATCGCCACGTTGTTATTATTTGAATAATTATTCTTTCACAATGACTAAACGTGAACGATGGTTTTAACAGCATCAGTATTTTTTAACCGACTTCAAAATCCAAAAGGAGGAGGTTATATGTTCGACGGCGATGTATGTTTTTTATGTATGTTTCACCGATAAGTTCGCCAATTGTTTTTCTTTTATTCGATCCGAGGTGATCCGATTTAAATTT